AGAATTTCGAGTCTTGAACAGAAGATGAGATCTAAAGAAAACTACCTTTTCTGGAGAAGAGAAGTCCGTTTTCCTGAAGGCCACATAGTCGTCCACTGTAGTCAGCCCATGCTGCCTGCAGAAGTCGGCAGTCTCTGCTTCATCATCAAAACCCAGCAGGCACTGGAGATGGCTAGAAATACAAGAAAGCATGATCATATACTACATGTAGTAGCTAGTTAGGTACAGAAACTGAAGTAGTATGGACAAGTGTCACACAATCATTGGGACTAGCCAAAACTATCATGCAAGGAACAGTACAGGGAGGGAGAAAGAGGGGTAGGCAATGGAAAAGTTGGGAGGATAATATCAGACAATCCAGTCTTAATCATTAGTACTTTTTCATAAATATCTTTCAAGAGACCTGAGAAATAGCTGAGTGTGTAGGTGAGTGGACATAAGATGAAGAGGTTATAGGTTTGAGAGAAGAAAATTGAAGGATGGGCTCTGTATTAAAACACCCAACCCAGGACACAAAGGACTAACAACTCAAAAAGGCTATGTGATTACCTTTACCCTTTCAACATAAGAAATGACTGACTCACCTGAGTGGGAATCTGCAGACTTTACTGCTGTAAGCTGAGTTTAGCACCTGCAGTGCACGGCTGGGAAAATACATGTACAAGATAAGGTGTAAGATTTACAATGAATTACAAAAAAATTACACACAAACATGTACCAAAAGAATGTTTAGTAGATCAGGACTTAGAGATAGGATACCAACAAGACTAAGAATCTAACTAGAAAGGTAACATTTGCAAAGCAAATGCATAATGTTTACCTTCACATACGGTCTGCTCTCACTGTTAATTCTTACTCAAACACATTCATATATTAGCCTGGGTACCATGCTGGTTAGTTTACGTCCGCTCCCACAGTCACTACCGACAGTCGGTACCGACTGTGGGAGCGGACGTAAACTAACCAGCATGGTACCCAGGCTATTCATATATATATGGTGACAGGAGTCTAAATCCCTCCTTGTGACATGATGTAACCCAACACCAGTTACCATGGTGACAGACATCTGGTTCAGCTCATTCATCTCATTGGTTTGGAGAAGAAGAGGAAACAGAACTAAAACAACAGTACCTGCGTTGAAGTGCTAGGTGCCTGTGCACAGCGCAGCTGTGGATGTAAGGCAGCTGTCGGACCAGCCTGAACAGCTGCACAAAGTCTCCTCGCAGCTGCGCCAGGTGCAGCTGAAGGGCCACCTGCACCACCTGGCATTGCCTACATGGCGACAGTTGTGTTCACTTTAGTGATGCTGAAGAAGAGTGATGGATGTCATTGAAAACAGGGTAGAAATACTTTTTTCAGTGTGCTGTAATATTTCAGAATGTCAAAATTATTTTCTGCAACTCAGAACACTTTCTGCAAATACACACTTAAAAGTCCAGATCCTACCCCATGGTAGAGCTGTGTACCTAAACAAATTTTAGGTACAGGTACACAGGTTTAGGTACAGGTCCGGACCTGAACCTGTACCTGAACAATTCGACCAAATTATATGCTCTTCTGAACTCCTTCAATAACAAAAAAACATTAATAAACTTGATAGTTAAGGTTTATTCTTTGTTTATGGCGAATGCTCAGATGAAATATAGGCAAAACTAAAGATGTTTTTGTTTTCATGAACACACTGTCCTTACACAGGGACCGATTTGAGGTCACAAATAGGCATAAAATTGGTGTGAAATTGTTTAGGTACGGTACCGGTACTGAGGGATTAGGTATTTTGGACCTGTACCTAATCAATTTTTCCGGTACAGTATCGGTACTGCGTACCGGTACACAGCTCTACCCCATGGCATATACAAAATTGCCAAATGCTGTGACCTATAACCTCCTGTCATTTGTCTGTCAATCCTCCATCAAGCTACCCACATGCTGTCAACCTACTCTATCCCAAAACAATACTTCTGTACCTGGAAGTAGTTAAGGATTTTTATACCATGACTAAATCCTACACAAAACTTAAGATGGTATGTATGTGGGGTCGTGTGGCGTAGCGGCAGAGTGCGCGACTCGGAACTTTGAGTCCCGAGTTCGAGTCCTGACATGCCACCGATCTTGTGCCCTTGGGAAAGGCACTTTACACGGCTTTCCTCACTTAGCTCAGGTGTAAATGAGTATTGTCCTGTCATGTATTTGTCCCCTGTGTTGGTGGCGGCATTAATATAAGTTGAAAAAACTTGAGTGTGTCGTCACCACGTCTGGTGATTACATGTTGGAATTAAAACAAGACTTTTGAAAAAAGTTTATCTCGGCCGCTGGCCATGTAGTTTTGTGTTCTTGGAGGATGTCCACATAGATTTGTGTAACTGCTAGAGAGGAAAGAATGTATTACCTAGTATGTTCATACCTGTAACACCAAACAGGGTAATAAGTTGGCTTCCATTATCATTTGCTTCAATGGAATTAGTGAAAAATATTAATCTCGAAGCAGATGTTGGGAGGGAAAATGTTTAGGTAGAGATACAGATTTTCATTTGTGATTGAAGATTTGAGAGACAGGAAAGAGTTTAGGATATGTATGTGGAGCTAATTTCTCTGTTAGAGTAGGTTACACAGCTCAATGTATGGGGAAGACATTTTTTGGAATCAGTAGTGTCATGTTGTATATTACAGAGGAACTATGTTTCATCTGTATGTTTCATTGCAATTGTAATGTCTGGACAATACTGATGAATAAAGAGCAAAGATGCATGTGTCAAAAGTGAAATGTTTTATTTTGGTATAACTTCATGAGACAACACAAAATGGAGTGGCTACAATAACAGAGCTGTCAAACGTTATCAAGCTTAATGCACTAACATATTGTTAGGTTGTACGAATTCATAAATTTTCACGGGGGGGGAGGGGGGCGATAACGTAACTCTGTTTAAATCTGTTCAACAGCACGAATAAAACACAATGTAATTGATTGCCCTTGCCCGTAGTATCTTTAGCTCCATTTTTATCCTATGGCTCTATGCCTAATACCCTTATAATTCCTGATATTTTGCTATTTTTGCTAAGTAAATACCTTACCAGCCTCATGCGTTACATCCGGGATCTTCGATATGGGAAATTCCATTCAGGCCACTAATCAAAAGCGACATCTTGCGACCGAGGAATATAGTGCACTTCCATAACCTTCGTCTTGACTTATTCAGATGTCTCAAGGTAATATTAAAACGTAATTTTTTTAACTTGGTTTATTGGTGCAATTGCAGCGGTTATTACCAAATCTTTATAACATTTAATGCATACTACTCTCATGTCCCTAATAAACATACCCCCCGGAATAAACATACCCCCCGGACAAATCTTCAAAGTCTAATATACATACCCTCCGGAATAAACGTACCCCCCGGAAAATGACCAAATTGACAGGTGAACGGTACTAAAATGTGCTCTTTATTTCAATACCAATGTATGGGCAAATCTTTCACTGTTACTTTTGATTAGGAATATAAATATACTGTACTAGTACTCAACAAACAGTGTCGACATTACAGCCATATTACACCTCTAGCAATAGGGGTGGGTACCTGTTCGGCTCTTCCAGGTCCAGAGGATCAGGTCCAGGTCCGGACCTGTACCTGTACCTGATTCTGAATACCGGAGTTTCAGTACCGAATTTTTTTTGCTAAATGATCATTGCTAAATACAATATAACGTTAAGTATATGTAACCACTACAATAATTTTCGTTTTATTTTATTTTTTTATTTTTATTTATTTTTTATTTATTTTCATTTTATTTTTTATTCTGTTTTATTTTATTTCATTTAATTTTATTCTATTTTATCCGTTCTATGCATTATCAAACTTCTCCTCTACTGCTAGAGCTACTAAAACTTCAGACCGAATATATTAAACATTTTAATTCGCCCCCTCTAGCGGTTTGGGCCAAATTGCAGCTTTCCAAAAAAATCCAAGATGGCGGCGGCAGATCGGGGCGCGGCTCGGCGATTGCCGATTTCATTGTATTTTCCTTGGTCTTTTACGCGATTCAAGACAAAGAAAACAAGTTGACCACAAGAACAAAAGAGTAATACAGCACTGGGAATCTAATGGTCCGTTTGTTGGGCGGTAATTTCTCATTTCAAGTGAATATTTACTTGCGTCACAGTGATTTATTCACCAATCAAAAGCGACATCTTGCGACTGAAGCAAATATGGAAGGTTAATGTACATAATTTATGTCATTGATTTATTGGTCCAATTACAGCAGCTATTAGCGAAATTCTAGAACATTAAATGCATACTATGATATAAAACAATGGTTTTGTGGTAAACAGCATTTCCTCTTTTTTAGCAACTTCGTTGTATCAGAATAACGACACTATCATCCGGTAGGTCGACACCACAAAGTAAAGTATACATGCAGAGTAATTGGTTTCATTGGGTTTTTTTTCACGGTCGAAATCAAGATTTATCCAGTCATCCAACCATCCAACCATTCAACCATTCAACGTACATATTTTGGAGCACAATATCTCGGCCGCTTCAGGCGGCCGAGATAAAAAAAAAAGATGGTAGCCTACACTGGGACTCGAACTCAGGACTACTGAACCAACAAAACTCAACCTTATAGCTTTTGGCAAGGATAGTCCGTGTTGAAGAGCATCGTGGGACCCTGGATTGAAATAATCAGAAAAGAAAATTTGATAAAAAGATGCAACATCTTCTCCTCACCTCACCTCACCGGTCCCATAGCAGACTGTCCTGCCGTCGGGGCAACTAAACTGTCTACATTCATTTAAAATAAAGACGATCATTTAAAATCAAAGTTGTTGAACACCAGCTGCAAACTACAGTGCAGTTTTAATCAACAAAATATCTAGCAATGAACAAAGTACATGTACCTGCTTTCTCAAATCGACATTGTTAAGGATCTCAACCGAAATTTGAAGTACAAGTACATGATCCTTATTGAATGAATGAAGACCTTTATTGCAGATTTTTGCCACATTAGGCTAAGTACAGGTCACAACAACACATGATGAAAAGATACAATTAAGTTGTTAACAAATACAAAATGAAACTAACTATTGTTACAAAAATTCAACTTCTGTTACAGTAGAGAAAAAAGTTTTTCAATGAAAGGGTCTAGTTGCATTGGGAATACAAACTTTCCTACAGTGCTTAAGTGTATAGAAAAGGACAAAAGTCTTACCCAGACAGTGCATGAGATATAGTGCCTCCATACAGGCTCTGTTCCCCTGTGTAGTCCCTGTATTGCTGTTTGCCTGTGTAGCCCCGGTACTGTTGTCTGTGTACTCCCTGAGTAGCCAGGTCAGACAGTTCTCTAACTGTTGGTTATTCAGGTGGGGATCAAACTGCTGAAGGCTGGACTCACACAATCTGTACAGGAAAATAAAACATGTAGTTTTATATGTGTGTCGTTTTCTTGATGTCACACATTATATCATACATACATGTTTGTGGTGCCCGAATCTGCGTACCCTGCCTAAGGACCTTGTATTGTTGCGTATTTGTTATTTCTTATTGTTCCGTCTTCTTTTACGTGTAGACTGGCACTTGAGGCTTATGTCTGAGCATGTATTGCCTTATTTGTCTTAATCAATAAACGAAATAAAAAGAATAAACTTATTAACATCATATTTCTTTTGTCAATCCTACCCCTACCCAACAAAGATGGCAGACCAACCATACTTAGTACATGTACCATGGAGACCTTCATGCATGCACATACTAAAAGCATGTCGGTAAGACGTACTGTGCCTGTGCAAAATCCTGATTTTTCACGGTTTTCGTTGGATTTTTGGTCAACGTTGCATCAGAATTTTGCCTGTTGCAGACAATATCTTTTCCGACACAATATTTGGAAACTACAGACGGGATGTTCACCTTAGATACACGAGTATGACCTTATATGAGACATTCTGCCGAAATGCTATGCACAATACAGTACAGTTTTGCGCAGGTGCAGTACGTTCTGCCGACGTGCTTATCCTCTTCACATTGGACAAGACCGATCCATTAGTATAAAAGGGGTGTTTCTGCTGACCTGTATGCTGCATACACATGGAACCGTACGGCTTTCTCCAGGACGGTAACGCATGTGTGGCCTTTGACCCTCTGCACCACCATGTCCTGGCGTACTGCGCGGAGTCGGTCCGAGATGAAGTTGTAGACGTCGGAGAAATGTACGTCGTCCCTCGGGAGGATTCTACATGGCAACATCAACATTTTAGACTTCTGGGAGTGTTTGGTTTCTTTTGTAACATTCAAGTTCACACTTATTTTCTGACCCTTTGTCCTGTCATTCTGCCTGTCAATCTACTCACACCCACATGCTGTCAACTTGACGCTGAAAGCTAACTCACCTGTCCTGACCTGACAGCTAACTCACCTGTCCTGACCCTGACAGCTAACTCACCTATCCTGACAGCTAACTCACCTATCCTGACAGCTAACTCACCTGTCCGGACCCTGACAGCTAACTCACCTGTCCTGACAGCTAACTCACCTGTCCGGACCCTGACAGCTAACTCACCTGTCCTGACAGCTAACTCACCTGTCCTGACAGCTAACTCACCTGTCCTGACCCTGACAGCTAACCCACCTGTCCTGACAGCTAACTCACCTGTCCTGACAGCTAACTCACCTGTCCGGACCCTGACAGCTAACTCACCTGTCCTGACAGCTAACTCACCTGTCCTGACAGCTAACACAGCTCTCCTGACCCTGACAGCTAACTCAGCTGTCCTGACCCTGACAGCTAACTCAGCTGTCCTGACCCTGACAGCTAACTCACCTGTCCTGACCCTGACAGCTAACTCAGCTATCCTGACCAACAGGTTTCTCAGCTCTCCTGACCCTGACAGCTAACTCACCTGTCCTGACAGCTAGCTCACCTGTTGACCAGGTAGTCCACAGTGCCCTGCAGCACCTGTGGAGGCCTGAGTTCAGCTGGAGGGATGACGTCCTTCCCAGCCGCAGGGCGGGAGTACTCCTTCACACACCTGACAGGGTCAGCTGACGGTCTGGGGAACGATGGATGGAACAAAAATGAATATAACGCTACAAGTAAAGGTACAGTAAAGGACTAAAGATAGTCCCATAGTCTTTTAAGTTTTAAGACTGTTTAGGACATGGCCACTACCCCTCGGCCAATGAGAGCCCTTCATTTTCTGTGTTTATATTTCTGTGTTAACACATTTTCTGTGTTTTTCTGTGAAAAAGAAACCATCCTCAACTGAGATGAAGTATGTATTAGTAGTGGATTCAGTGTGCTTGAATTTTCAGTCAGGTTCTTCCAACAGGGACCAGACTGATGTAAAATACGTCATTAGGTAGGCACTTGTTGTGTTAAATTTTGGTAGGCACTTGTAGCTTGTTGTGCTAAATTTTCTACTCACAGTCTGTTGTGTTCTGTTCCCTCCACCATTTCAAACCTGTGCAGGCGCTTCTGTCTCTGTCGTCTGTAAAGAGACAAGAAACACAGTTAAACATAGGGACAGTAGACTGACAGGGATGCAACTTATTAACAAACTTTGTCAACGTAGACAACTGTTTAAAGTTATAACGTTAGATGCACAGAACTCAAGAACTAACCTACCAACACCACCTTTTCTAGATCAGGACGCAAGATAGAACGTTTATTTTCGCATTAAAACTACAGACCTGCCTGTGTGGATAGTCACAATTCCGTAGACATAAAAAATAAATTGTCTGACACCTTATCGCAAACGCGGAAGTGCCCCCCTCCCACCCACCATTTAGCTTTATAATATATCGAACTTACGCAGCTCGTTCCTGCTCAGGACACATATCCTGACACGTCCCCCGGATGTCCACCTCGTCCTGCATGGTACCTGTGAAAGTAGACTGCATTTGACGAAAAATAAGCGCCAAAACAGCAGTCAAATCCACAACTCTGTCTCCTTTGTTTACTGCCTTGTTAACCGCCGAAATGAGTCCTTAGCATGGTTCACAGAATTTATCATAGCGCAGTCAGAATCGGGAAAGCCAGGCTAAAATATATGTCGTTGCAATCCTTACAAGTCAGGGAACCTCGGGAAGTTCACTTGAAGATCACACTTGTACACAAAAACGAGCTTTGTAGCGTCAAAGTTGACCTTTATTCGCTAGCTAAGAACTCATTTTGGCGTAGGTTTTCGAACTGTATGGGGGTTTCCGTGATACCGCTAATCCCATCTACTTCCGGGTCACGAGGTCACGAGGTCACGGCTTACGAGGTTCGGTTACTAGTATATTACACGCCGAAGAGCTAAGGAAACGTTGCGGAGTGAAATTTCATGAAAAAAAGCTCTTAAAAAGCCGCGCCTATAAGGTTTCGCAACTTCTTCCCAAAAATCCAATTACGCTTTGGCGAGTATATTAGGGTCTGCCCTCCGTGTCTATCATATAAATGATACACGTAAACGTCGGGTCGTCCTCGGAGTGCTTTTTGTATCATTTCAATGATACGTGTAACTACCCAGGTTTTCCGAAAGTCGGACTGACTTCCAATATAGTAACCCCACTATCATATCTACGCATGTGTGAGACGACAAAAAAATCCCTTCACCCTTTTGGCGAGTA